CTTAACTTAAACTTTATTTATAGCTTAACCTTAACAATCTAACAGGGGAATAAAACTTAACAGTATTTAACCTAACTTATAACTTCAGTTTATAAGTCCACATTATATTATTGGCTTTTCACAAATATTAAAATGAATGCTATATGCATAATTTTGGAAAACCTTACTGTATGAAATATAATTTCTTTTAGTTCTGCTATTAATGAAACTTAGAAATAGTGTGATAAATGTATTTTTTAATATATTTTTCTTGGATTACAACACGGTGATGTAAAAAGCTTTTATTCATGTAACTAACTCAGAGAATGGTAAAAAGATAATCAGGAAACTCTTCACATTTTTGGATTATCCTAGCTGGATGAAGACAACCAGAACTCCAGGGAAGGAATTTATTGATCGAGGGTAGGCAACAAGATGGCCCCACAAAAAAAAATTGATTTACAGGTTGGATGATGATTTTGAATAATGCATAAAGATCTATGAATATGCAACATGTTTATGCATTTAAGGAGTTTTCTGAGTTTGTGTGTGCTCTTGACTGGAGGCCAAGCACCCGACCCTTTTTGCTTTATTGTCCCTTACTGTCTTTTATTAAACCTTTTAAAATTTACCAAGAAAGTGAACCTCGTTTTTCACATGTTTAACAACGTAGCAAAAGACCAACACTTAGCAGAACCTAATTAAACTTATAGCTTAACCTTACAGGCCTGAATACTGAGATATCTGAAGTACTTCAACATCTAAGAAAGCAGTATTTCTCTCACATGTGAATTTCTCATGCATGTGCCAAAGCATATGCACAGGGGCCTGCAACCACACAGAAACAGTCAATGCAAGCAAGGTACCTGTGAAAAATTCCCCTCAGAGGTCACTGAAATGCTCACTTTTACATCTCGTGATGGGTGAAGGATCAGGCCTGGAGGAGTGAGGATATCAGCCAGGACACATCGTGGTTCAGTGATGCTCCAGGTACAGCAAACCTGAGGGTTTGCAGGCTCTGGGGGTCACAGCCCACGGTGGCCCAGGAGAGCCCAACGGGCCCCACTTTGGGCCACTGGTTATGGGGGCACAGGAGAGTGGCCTTCGGTCACAGCAATGTTTCATCCTGGCCACAGTTTGGGTCAGCACCTTCTTTGAAAGTGTGGTGATGCCTAGAGGAGCTGGAACAGAGGCTACACACAGAGTTAAAGGGAATAAAATGGGTATTTATTGAGAGGCCTACAAAAGGCCACACCCTGGCAGTACCAGTGCCACAGTGGTGGCCCCTGCCTGGATGGCCCCAAGATGGAAGCAAAGGAGAGCTTGGTCACAAAATCTCACATTTTTATAGGTTTGGGTTCATTTGCATGAACCCACCCTCCTCATTCCACGTTGTTTATGCTTAGGGCCTGAAGTTTGAAGAAATTGTCCTCGAGTTCTCAACTGGAATAGGACTGTTTTGTCTTCATCACCCTAGCACATCAGAAAAGCACACCCAAGCAGAATAGAAAAACTTAAAACTTAAGGCATCATGGGAATAGGAATGTTGTGCTATTTAGGCCTGAGGAATGTTTTCCAAGGCTGCTCATTAGGAAAACAGCAGCTTGTTGGCAATTCCTGGGAGCAGACAGTATTTCTGATAAGCTCAGAAGGACCTGAGCCCTGGGGGTGTTTCCAAGGCCAAGGCCTAACAAACATTTTCTCAGATCTCAAAGCAGTAGGGGGGACAATCAACCACCACAACTGTGTAACTTGGGATCAATGAACATTGAACCAATGAATTTCCATGGGTTTTGACTGTATAAGTATGTGAAAAATCTAACGAAAACCTCGTGTGATGGGAAGGATTTTCTTTGCACAACTAGGGCAATGTTTGGATGAAATTATTTCTGTTGCATATCCTGGCCAGAATGAAGTAATGCCTTAATTCTCTAACACTAAAAAATGTTGTTGGGGAGCTTTTGTTTTTCCCAGTTTTGGTGACAAGATCACACATAACATGAACTTCAATAAAACTTTCCAAGTAATTTAAGGAAAATTTTCGCCACCAGCACATCATACGTATTTTTACTCCCCCTTAGTGAGTCTCTGTTGGGGGTTAGGATTTTTCGTTTTGTTTTTTTCTCTCATGGAATTTTGTCCCAGTTGTTTTTAAGAGACAAGAAGGACCGGTACTTAAGAGAGACAAAAGATGTAGCCAAGGAGGAGGGGGATGCTGGCTCTAAGCTGCATCGAAGGGGCTTTCTCTTGGGAAAGGCAGGGATAGCTCGAGATTTAGGGCTGGGCACAGCTCCAAGCTCTCTCTTGCTGTTGGCATGGAGGAGGATGGTCGAGCTGGTGCTTGTAGTGGGAAGAATTCACTCCCACTGCTGGAGCCCAACCCTGCCCTGCCTCATCCCTACTATGTGTGAGCTTTACTCCTATGAGTAGCTGTTGGGCTGGGACTTTATTAACACCTCACTAGAAAAGACCCTCATGTGAAAAACGAAGTTCACTTTCCTGGTAAATTTTAAAAGGTTTAATAAAAGATATTTAGAGACAAATAATAAAGCAAAAGGTTGTAACAGCCGGGTTCTTGACATTCAGCCAAGAGCACACTGCTAGCTCAGAAAACACTTTATTAAATGCATCAGCATGTTCTATATTCATAGACCTTTATGCATTATTCAAAATCACCCTCCGCCCCAACCTGTAAATCAACATTTTTTATTTCTCCTTGTGGCTCCATCCAGTCAATCCCTGATAATGGAGATCAATCAATTCCTTCTCTGGGGTTTTGGTGTCCATCACCCCATCTTCATCCAGATAGGATAATCCAAGAATCTGAAGAATTTTCTGATTATATTTTTTACTGTTCTCTGAGTGAATTACATGAACAAAAGCTTTTTACATCACCATGTTATAGTTCAAGAAAAATATATATTTATCACACTACTACTTCTAAGTTTTGTTAATAGCAGAACTAAAAGAAACTATACTCATACAGCAGAGTTTTCCAACATTATACATATAACATTCATTTTAATATTTGCAAAAGGCCAATATTATGCATTTACAACACTGCTGCAGCGCATTTCACCATCAGGAGGGGCACAGGGACCGGCTGCTCCTGAGGGTCTGTAAAGGGAGCCCCTTCTCCATCCCGTGGGTCTGTAAAGGAGCCCCTTCTCCATCCCTTGGCTCTGTAAAGGAGCCCCTTCTCCATCCCTTGGCTCTGTAAAGGAGCCCCTTCTCCATCCCTCCCCCCCGAGCCGCCATTAACAGCGTGAAAAGGCGGCCGAGCTGGCGCCACAGCGCCCCCTGCAGGTCAATCATCGCACCCGCCCTGCCCGGCCGCGAGCCAGCAGCGCCCCTGCTGGCTGTGCCCGGAACTGCACCCAAGGGGAAAGTGCCTGCAGCCGAGAGCAGCTGGGACTGGGCTCTGCTTCTGTTTGGTGTCGCTGCCGGTGGGGTTGTTTGTTTGCCTTGTTATACACACACATACTGCTAAAGAACTGGTGTTCCTTTTCCTGCCTCTTTGCCTGAAAGCCCCTAATTTCAAAATTATAATAAGTCAGAGGGAAGAAGATCATATTTTCCATTCCAAGGGAGGTTCCCACCTTACTTGGCAGACACCTGTCTTTCAAACCGTGACAGTCTCACACAAAGTGTGGTATCAAACATCTGTCCTGCTGAGCAAGTCAAAATGGTGAGAGCTCTCTCTTGTGGCAGAGAACATTAAAAGCATCCTCAAAGAATAAACCTCTCTCCAAGAGGTTACACGGGAAAGCTTCAGGAAGAACAAGGAAATCTGAATAGCAGGGAGAATATTTTGCATTTTCTCTCATGTTTTTATTTATATCCAGGGAGAGGAGTGTTTATACTTCCAGTCTAAACCTTTCTTGCTTCTTCAGAAATGTATGGGAATGGCCCAAGCAAGATTTAATATCTGAAAGGTTTCTGTGCCCAAGACAGAAAGGATGGAGCCAGAACAGCTCTGGCAGCACCAGGCAGGATTCCCAGTCTCATTCCTTCAGTGCATTGGCTTTCCCAGAGCTAGCAAGAATGTGACAGAAGGAGAAGTTCAGGGTAGTATCAACATCTCTGCATTTCCTCATCCCTTTGCAGCTCAGCTCCCTGAACTGGCACAGATTAAAGCCTCAGCCTTGCCCTCGCAGAAATCCTCAAGGTTTTTCCCATGTCGTTCCCCACAGTGTTCTAAGGCCAGAACTCCTCCCCTCAGACCCTTGGCTGCCTCTGGGCACAGCACAGCAACCTGACCTGGGCTTTATTGAGTGCTCTCCTGCCAAAGGGCACAGGACTGCCACTTGCAGTTCACATGGGTCTGGAGGGGATGTGGCTGATGCTGCTCCTTCCTTCCTGCTGTAAGGCCGGGCTGGGTCAGAGCTCTGCCTGTGCCCATCACTGCAGCTGCTGCAGCCATCATTGCATCATTGCAGCTGGCTGCAAGGCTTATGTTTGGGAGGAAGGATGAGCATATATTTAAAAGGATACTCTAAGCAAACCTCAAAATTTCTATGAGTTTTAATTTGCTAGAAGTAATTCAAACAGATGGAATGAGGTTAAAAATATGCCCCCCCCCACTTTTTTAAAAAATTAGATTTCCTTATATAATATTCTTTTTAATTTCAACTTATTTGAGAGGGTAAACAGACTGTTTCACTTTCTCTTCACATAAACCTTTTTGTTTTGATAAGATGATAAATACAGCATTAAAAATACAATGTAATAATCATATTCCTGCATCTGCTGGATCTCATCTGACCTGTCTGTTTTGTGCCCTGAAATAATAAACGGTTCCTGGTAAAATTAGATCTATTGATGTAAACTGAACTTCTTTCTCTGATCTCTCCTGACACCTTCTGGCCAAAGTGTTCTCACGTGAAATCCAGAAAATAGCTCAAACGGAAGAAAAAAAAAAAACAAAAAACCAACCAATCAAAGAAGCCACCCAAACCCCACAAGAAGTGTTGTGTCTTCACGTGCCAGAAATTAAATTTTGCTCTTCATTTGCATTCTGGCCTTACCTGCAGGTGCAGTTGGAAATTCTTGCTAAGCGATCCAGAGGCTTTAGAAAGTCAAGGAAGCTGAAAGAGCCGAAAAACTGCAGTGAGATTTAGAGAAGCTTCATTTGAAACTTCAGACTAAAGCAGGGTTACCGCTGGAAGTGATTTGTAATTGAAGAAATGGAGTAGAATACGGGAAGCACTTGCAGCACTGCTTTCACAATTCCTCGGTATTTCTAAAGGAGTTTTAAACTCTAAATTAGTCAAGAAATTTGGTGGTCAAAATTTCCTAGGCTGGAGGAAAGAGGTCTTGATGGGATTAAGGGATTTGTGTCCCAAAAGGTGTTATACATACATCAGGTCTTCCAAAGGTGGCAATGTCTGGCTAAACAAGCAGCAAGCCTGAACCAGCAAGGAATGCAGCCCAGGCTTTGTGGCTTCAGGCAATGAAGAGGCTGATAAGAAAATGAGGGAATGCAAGTGCCAGAGTGCCTGGAGCCCCGGGATAAGGATATCGTGAGGAAGTTGTTCCCTGCAGGAAGGCTGCAGCTGAGCTGCTCTCAGGAGCTCCAGTCCTCGAATGAGGTTAATGCTAAATGGTTTCTCACTGGGGCTTCTCACATCAAGTTCTGCTTGTGGACCTGGCTCCTTCTGCCAACAGGTGAGTCTGTTTGCATGGCACAAACCTGTGGATATAATAAATCTTTAATTTATTCCAGCTGGGAATTCAGGGGGCTGGGCTTTGGAGTCAGTCTCCTTCAGGCATCACAAAACCAAGGGTGTGCTTTGAACAGCTGTGAGGGCTCTGATGGAACAGGCAACAAGGGGAGGGTTGGTCTCAAAGGACAGCCTTAGACATGGTCACTTGCTGGGGGACTCTGGGAAAATGATTTATCCTTTGGTGGGTAATTCACTCTGTGAAACAGGAGAGAGAAATTGAATCCTTAAATCTTGTTCTGTAAGAAAGTGGTGCAGGAACTTGGAAGGGGATGGAATTATTTAAATACACAGAACTGTTCTTGTCTTCAAATTAATCAAGTTTTTCTATCTATTTTATAGACATAGAAAAAGTTTTCCTCTTATGTATGTTACAGTAGCATCAGTGGGAAAGTTCCCATTTGTTGAGCACGTTTGTATATTTGGAAATCTGGGTGAGATGTTTAAAACTGTTCAGTGATGTGATCTGCTGCTTTTCAGCTGTTTTTCCTTCCTCATCTCAGCCAGTTTTTAGCTGAAAAATATTGGTAGGGATTGCACATAAGGTATGGCTTGGAAAGGTAATGAATTTGTATAGAAATCATTTCTGCATGGGCAGGCACAAAGGTTTCCCATCACTTAATTTATAATTTGAACAATAATCATTCCTCCCTTCCCTTCCTTTGCTTCCTTCCTTCCTTGCCATGCTGTCCAGTAATTTTGGGAATGGCACTCAGGGAGATTCCAAATGCCAGTTGTGCTGTGGCTGACCTACAGAGAAAAACTCACCTGGACAGGGTGAGAAGGGATTATTTTGTGAATTGCTGTTATACTGACACTGGGAGTTACTGCTGTGCAGGAACCACAAACACTTCAATTTAGTCACAATGACCCTGAGTAAAGACAAATCCTGGCTGTTCTTGCCAGCCAAGAAGAAAATATCATCAGCTACTGGTTCGAATTTTTTCCTTTTTCTTGTTTGCTGCAAGTAAATGTACTTTGAGGCTGCTTGATTGGAGCAGAAGTGATGGATTAAGCTATTCTGGAAGGGATGCCCAGATTCTTTTCCATCTGATCCTGAATATCCATGCAGAATGTTTTTCTTCTGTATCGAGTAGGACACAGAAAGAGAGATTGTATTCCTGGGAAAAGTAAAAGTTTTGAATAAATTTTCTTTTTGCTCTAAGGAAAATCTGCATGCATTCAGTTATTTTAGAAACCAGCACAGAATTCTTGATTTCATCTCTATCATGTCAGTAAGCTTAGTTACCATGCCAGGAAAAGCATGGCTGGTTTTAGAGGTGCTGATATTCTCATGGATCTTTCATGGCTTTAAATATTTAATCCCTGCTTATAATTCTCAAAATCACTTTAAAACAAACATTATCAATGCTTTTATGTGATAAGGAATAGTTGAAATATCATAATTTGCCATGGAAACATCTTAAATTTCATGAGAGGACGAAGGAGGTGTTTTTGTAAAGGGCTGAGCTGCTGTGGGCAAGCTCATTGAGACACTCCACTTTGTGTCTGGATTTCGGCTCACAGTGTTTTCAGGTGAGCTGCTCCTCTTTGCCTGCAGGAATGTGGGGATGATATTTCCATTTACTCCCATTTACAATTCCAAAATGTGGAGAAAAAAAAAAAAAAAAAAAAAAAGACAGAAGCACAAATCATTTCCCTGCCAACTCCATCAGGCAGTTTGGGGAAGTAAAGTGGAGATAATCAGTAAAATTCTGATTGCAGCAATTGTTTTCAAAGCTTTAGTCTGATATAGCAATGAGACATCTCCCCAGAGACAGCATTCAGAACAGAAAATGCAGCTGTGTAAGAAAGAGTAGAAAAAACCACTGTAAATGGATGGATATGAGCCAATTATATGACATTATTCCCTGTGCATTTAAATGAACTTAATACACAGAAATGGCATATTTTATTTCATTTTTATTACTTTAATTTTTATTTTACTTTAATTTTTTATTAATTTTAAATGCCTTTTTCTTTTTATTATTTACATTTTATTTTTATTCAACTTCATTTAACTTCTGAAGGCCAGTAGCAACTGAGATCCTTGCTCCTAAATCAGATGTTTTCAATTTGATGTCACTCTGCAAATTCAGACCTGTTTCTGACTGCACAAACTGGTTGTGGTTGCCAGTTCCAGTGTTAAATGAGAAAGGGTTGGGGAGCTGCTGCCTGTTCAGAGACACACACACCGTGTAGAATTGTTTGTCCTGTGTGGAAGGGTTTGAAGTTACATTTGAGAAAGTAAAATTGGGATTAAAATCCTACAATGCTTTTTTTTTTCTGTACATCAGCAATTTGAAAAAGATTTAGAACCAGAGCATAAGATGAAGAATGAATGACATGCATCACTTAATTCATAATTTAATTATAAATTTAATTTTACTTTACATTATAAATCTAATTTATAAAATCTATTTATAAATTCTATTTATAAATTTATAAATTTTCAAATTTATAGTTTTTTATTTTTACAATTTTATAATTTAAATAAATTTATAAATATAATAATTTAATAAATAAATTATAAACTATAAAATTATAAATTAAAAATTATAAGTTTCTAATATTTTATAATTTTTTTTTTATAAGTTGTTAAATTTTAAAATTTATACATTTGATTTAATTAGTCTGCTTTGCTTCCCTTCTTTTTTAACTCAATTTCTTTTACAAACCTTTCTGTGATGCTGAAAACACTTGTGGTGAACACCAGCTTACTTTTTGCCAAGGGATTATATCTCACACTGAAACCAACTCAGCATAAGAACTTCTGAGCTAGTTTGTTTCCTTTTTTGTCTGAAAGACAGATTATTCCTCCTTAAATATAAGCCATACACAGAGTGAGTCCAAATGGGGAAAACATCTCCATGGAATTTCTTGGTTTAGCTAAACTAGACAGGAGCAAATCAGTTCTTGTGTGTTGGATCCCACAGACCTGGGATTTTTGAGTTTTCTGTTTTTTCTGGCACTGACCCCCTGGAGAACACTGCTTTGGACCTGGGGCCTTGGAGAAGGCTCCAAATTTGAGTGATGGAGTTAGAGTCATGGGTGTGTAGTTAAATAGAAGTGTGTGATTTCACATGGTGAAGGGTTTTATATTTGAGGTTTTTTATAATATAGTAATAGGTATGGGACAAGATGGAGGATTTTGGGTGGTGCCTTTTTTAGTGCTCACCTCCCTTCTTTCTCGTGATTTCAGATTGTAGTTTCTGGCTGGACAGATAGTGCTGCACTAAAGGTCACAGGAATTTGATTATTAGGTTAAAAGTATAAATAATATAGGTGTTATTTCTCTATTGGATTGTTTATCTTTAAGGGACCTTGTAGCTAGCTGGATTCAGCTCCAATTTGCTCTCTTCTAGTTGGTGGCTGAAGTGTTACAGAACTCTCTGTACTTTAGATAAGATTTAATAAACAACCAAGCCTGAACATGAGAAAATCTGTTTCCTTTGTGTATTTTTAATCCTGGCTCTGAGTGAAGGCAGAAGAGACTGAGACAAACCCTTAATGAAGTTGTGCAAAACTCCCACCGCTGTCCCACTTGTCCTCAGTAAATCAGCAGCAGCAATGCAGTGTCCCTGAAGTGACCAGAGCACAGGCTGGTGTTTTATCTCTCAGCAGCACTAGAGCAGCCCCTACAGCCCCGTCGGTGAAAAACAGGAGCTTTTGTGGTTTTATAGTGAAAGTCTGAAGGGAACTCTGAGTATAAAAGTGTTTGGAGCAGAAGCATGTGGTTGTCTCAAACAGCTGCTCTACATGGAGATCTTGAAATTAATACTCAGAAGTGCCTTGAAGAACCAGGCTGGAACAAGTGATTCTTCATGTTCTGGTTGGGAGAACTCAGCAAGTTTTGAGTAGAGGTTTTTGCAAACTTTCTTGAGTTTTTGTGAAGTTTCTTACAGCTGTGATAATCAGTTTTGAGGAAATAATTTTTGGTCAAGGAAGAGTTTAGTAATAAAGTCAAGGAATTCTGAAGAGCTGTAAAGAACCTGATCATTCCAGAGTAGCTATGAAGCAACAGAAAAAGGTTCCTGGAATTGTGTGGCTTCCACAGATTTTAAAATCAGAGTTTAGAGTGGCATTTTGAGGTGGTCTTGTGCTAACTTCTGTATCAGGAATGTTAGAAATGGCAATGCAGCTTTGGAACAAGGACTGCTCTGAGGGTAAATCCAAGTGAGTATAATAGAAGAGAAATAAGGAAAAAACAATGTGAAGAAAAAAATTATTTTCTGAATATATTCCACACTTCTGCTTGCATGTAAGTTATCAGAGTTACTGATGTGTAGCTGGTCTTGTGCAGGCCAGAAAGAGAAAATACTGAATTTGGGAGCTGTAATGCCAGTTTGTAGAAATCTCTGTGCATCTGTTGGAATGAAAATAAAGGCAGAAAGTGGGACTGAGCTGCTCTGTAGATGGTCTGTCTATCATTTTAGTTACATAAGATTATAGAAGTGTTTGTGGTTTTGTTGTTGTTTGGCTTGGTTTGGTTTGGTTTTGGGGTTTACTGTTGTTTCATTGTTGGGGTTTTTTTCCCCCAAAATTGGAAATGTGAGAACAAAGGCAAATCCATACCTTAGAGAGGAATAAATCCTTAAGGTTTCATCATCATTTTGGTGCTGTTCAGGGGATGGGGACCCTTGGATGAGGAGTTTAGGCAGTTTTGATGTGAGGTGCCTGATGGTGCAGGCTGCTGCAGGCTGTGATAAGATAAGCACTAACTGAGGTGGATGGACAAAATGCTGCAGGAAAATTTCACTCCTGTCTTGCTTTATCTTGTTCATCTTAATGCTCACAGTTAATTACTCTGATTTCTACAGCTGCTGCTATCACAGGAGGATGCACCACCATCTCCTCTGTGATAGATGTGAGCTGGGCTGGTGAGGTAGGATCCCACAGCTCTGGGATTCACTCTATGGAATTTTAATGAGAAATGTTTTTGAGCATTTTAATCATAGAATGGTTTGATTTGACCTCAAAGATCACTCCAACCCCCTTCTCTAGACCCCTTCACCTTCTCTAGACCAGGTTGCCCAGTTTTGACCTAGAAAGCTTGAGAAGAAACACCCTGAGAGATCTGTGAGCACACATCAAAGCTGGAAATCTCCTTTTACTCAGAAGCCACTGCAGCAGTTTTGGTAAAGCTCTTTGTCACCGTGAAACTCCGCAGGCAGCTACAACAAGCTGACTTTTGGAAAAGGGACAAAACTCTCTGTTTATCCAGGTAAGTGGCAGAAATAAACATATAAACTGAATTTTATAATACTGAGAGGAGCTTTGGCCCATTCCTGGAAGTGTTCAAGGCCAGGTTGGGTGGGCAACCTGACCCAGTGAGTGACATCCCTGCCCATGGCAGGGGTTGGAGTGAGATGAACTTTAAAGTCCATTTCAGCCCAAACCATGCTATGTACCTGTGATTCAGGAGTTTGAAGATTTGTAATTTAGGAGAAAAATTATCTTTCCTAGAGTTAGTGGACGTGTCACCTTTCAGATATAGAGTAAGTGAATATTCATCTTGAAACTGTCAGACTTGTGAGTCCAGTTTACTCCCTTTCATGCAAAATATTCCAGGGGAAACCTGCCATCCCAAAGGGATTTTGCTTCCATCTTCTTCAGTGTCTTTTGAGATTTTTGTTGTTGTTGTTGTTGTTGTTGTTTCAGAGTTAATATCCCCAAGATGAGAATGTACTGGAAAAATGTCCATGTTTTCCTATTGGTTATAAGGGAGACTAGGACTGCAGTAAATTTAGAGTTCACATGGGCAGGACATGTTTCTGGTCTCTCAAGATTTCTCATTTCCCTGAACATGTACTGCAGAGTGTCAGTTTCTTTTCAAATCAAGGTTTTTACAAATTTTACCTTTAGAAATTGGAAAAAGCATTTGATAATTATTCATTTTTTTAATAAGTAGGGACAAAGATTGTCATGGATCAGAAGTTTCCATGGCCAGGATTTTGTTAAGGTTTGCCAAGGTGTAACTTTGGAGGTGAAAATCAAGGGTTTAAATGTGAATGAGGAATGAGCATAAAAAATAAAGCCAGAAAGAATCATGAGAGGCTTTAGGAAAGAAGTGCCTGTGGTTCTGAGGATTGCAGGCAGGTGGAACTGGGCAAAGGTGTCCAGTACTTGTTCCCCGTGGAGATTAAGTGATAATTTGGGAACTTTCTTATCCTAAGTTTCCAGAATTGAAGTGGTGAATGCAATGTGAATACTTACATTTCAATATTCCAAGAAATCTGATGTTTAATTTATATCTAAAATAGTTTTTAAAATCACTGGGATAGGAAAGGCTGTGAAGAATTTCATATGTCCCTACCTGACCCTGATCACTGAAATCTATTGATGGAAATTTTCTTGAGTGTCTTTATCTTCCAACATTTTTTCTTAGGGTTTTTTTTTTTTTTTTTTTTGGCAACCAGCAGTTTTAGTGTTTAGAAAATATCAGTATC